CCCCAAAACCCCAAAACCCCTTAGATGTTGATTTGAAATTTATGAGCAAGCCAATAAAAATTATATAATAATAGCAGATTTATTAATTATCAGAAGATATAACTTGTGGTTAGTTGCAAAAATGATCAAAATAGAATAAATCAATCCATTCATTTTTTTATGAACGGGGCAAGAATCCCGAATAGGTTCTCTTCCCGCAACCAGTTAAACTGGCTTAACACTTCGAAAAGTGAAAGAGAGTACAAAGCGAACTGTCTTTGAATAGCTTAAATTTTAGCGTTATTTATAATCTTCTTTTGCTATTTTTCTATGGGTCTTTAATTTGTTAAAAATTGTCTATCACAAATCACAATTATTTTAATAAATGAGTCTCTTTTATCTCGCTAATCTAATTTTAAAGTATTATATCACTATTTGCTTCAAGATTGTTAATTGCTGTACTATTAATAATATGCATTTTTACTTACTACTTTAGTTGTATTATCATTTTAACGAGAAATTGTTTTTCAAGTTCAATGATATCTAAATATCATTAGTTTGCTTAATAAAATTGGTAGGATTACTTAAGATTTTCTAAGGAATTACATTTTTGAAGGTTGATTTGTTGAGAAATTTTTACAAGCAAATCTATTAAAAAACTCTAGGTAGAGGTGCTGGTGAAATAATCATTTCACAAGATATATTAAAACCTAGTCTTAGTGAAGAAAAACGACATGTAGAGATTTGATTATGTATTAACAATGTAACTCCTTGAATCCTTTTTAAGATTGGTGCTAAATTTATAGAGTTATATATGATTTATTGATTTTATAGTAAATTAAAACGATCAAATTAACTGTTTAAAGGTATTGAAGGCCCTTATCAAATAATACATACGAATTTACTCCCTTAGCCTGATGTTAAGGAATTACACAGAGGATTCTCACTGGTACCTATTTCGATCCTTGTTTATCCATTCATCCTAACTGCACCTTCATTTCCACTCCCCTCGATGGTTTCTTGATATTTAATACATACGATTCCTAAAGCATCCTGTTAGTTCTCGAAAATTTATTAAAAATGGTCCCCTCTCGTTTTTACAAGGTTATGCTGGTGACTGATAAAGAGTACTTGCCAGATGACAGCTTTTTAAACGCATTTTAACATTTTTACATTTTCAGTTATCCCGCGAGCTGCATCCGGTGGCCCTTCTAGTTTCAGACCTTTAGGACTTGGATACCATTTATTCTCGAACAGCAAGCAATTTAATATTATCGTATCTTCCTAATTTAATTATATAATAGAGTAAAATATACTCAAAAAACGAGTACAGGATATTTTGTGCTGTTTTCATTGCCTAAGTGATAATTAAAAATTAATAGAATTTAAATTAACTAACTTTTACTAGATATACTCTTTTGAATTATTTATTTAGTTGGCACTTCGAATATTTATAAGTCCCAATGTAGCTTAAATCTAATCAAACTTTTCATTTTTAATTGAACGGGGCAAGAATCCTGATTAGGTCCTCTTCCCGCAACCAGTTAAACTGATTTAAATCTTCTAAAGATGATAAAAAAATAATTGCCCGGGCAGCAATTTTCTTTGGATATCTATTAAGCCCCTCAAATTTATATTTCATCCATTTTAATGTTTAATGGGTCTTGTGTTAATTCTTATCTTTTGATTAAAACTAATCACAACTTAATACATACATATGGGGTTTTGGGGTTTTGGGGTTTTGGGG